CATTTTCATTAATCATACTTTCATCATAAAGTTTCCTTAACTCAACATTCTTCATGGAAAATGATACCACCTTCTCCTCGGCTTTAAGAACCCTCCCCCGTTTATAAATTTCTTTAGGTTCTTATTTGTTGAATAATGGATCCATCTTTCTTATTAGCCTCCCTCCTTTGAGCCTCAATCATTCTCTTTTGTTCTAAATATATTATATGTTGAGTGAGAATATGACAATAGAAAACAATCTAGACGGAGTGAACAAACTTTTAGAAACAAAATTAACTTATTCTTCAAGCTACAATAATCAGAGGTTTTTGACAGTTTGCGTACAAAAGTTTATAGAGCGAAAATATAAAATTATACTCAATTGACAATTATTTAGTAGAAATTCAAATCACTTTACAAATATCATAATGTCTAGATGAAGAAACACAATGTATGAATTAATTGGATAAGTCACGAGATGTGGTTAAGCAATTAATTAACAAGGCGAAGTCTAAAAGCTGGATGTTTCTTAGATTTTAATCACCACTAAAGCTCTTGATATGTTTCCAATTCTAACAAAACCTAAGCTTATCAATTAAATTGCTAAGACAAAATATAAACCTAAGCATGCATGTCCTATGAAATTCAAATTTAAGAGTAAGAGATAGAGAGATGATATCGGGATTTATAGTGGTTCGACTATGTCATCCTAATGTGAGTCTATGTCCACTTTGATAGTTGTTCCTTTATTTTGACAAATATTTTGAGAGTATATACAATCACTAGTCCACGATAATGCTGAAGAAAAATTACAAATAAAATCTTCAATCTTGATCATGACTTGTATATAGCCAAATGCCAAACTCTTATGTGCAATCTTTACTCGATCAATGCTTCAAATCTTCTAATATCACCAATTATGCTTCAAGCCTTCGTATGTAGCAAACCCCTTGATTATACTAATTTCTTGAGCGATGAATTGTCTGAAGATGTAAAAAGAACTTCGTCTTGTTCGTATCCTTCCACACAATCACTACTAAGGAAACTCTAGAGAGAAGACCTTCTTCTTTTCACTGGAATTTTTCAGCACCAATGACAACAACCTCATCCTTGCAAGAACCTGAAAGTCTTTGAACCAATCTCCAAGAACAGTTAGTTTCAAGACAACGTCTCCCCAAATAAATTAACAATAACTCATGATTAAGATATTAAATTGAAATGAAGTTGAAGATGAAAGATTTCTAATGCAGGAGTTTCAAAAGAGGTGGTTGATTTTTCATAGAAAATTTACATGAATATGAAATCCACTTCAATTCTTTTATTTTGAAAAATATTGACAAAAGCTTATATATGTGCTTGAGATTAAGCATAAAAAGACTTAAAAATGTTTGTTACATTTGAATAGAAGTCAATGCATATAATGAGTCAAATGAGCAAGTGAATATAATAAAAAAGATTCATATTTTTTACCCATTTGCATTTGATTCGAATCAAGTGACTGTGTGATTCGAATATAGGCACCGTGATTCAAATCATATGCAATAATTGATTCGCATCAAATGCTCCATGGAACTTTCAAAAACCCTAAAAAGTTGCATGATTTGAATCATGTGCAAAGTATGATTTGAATGAATTTGAATAGAAGTGACATTAAATTGTCTAATTCGAATCATGTGTAAAACTTGATTTGAATCAAATGGTTTTTAAAAAGTTTTGGTCACTTCTGTTTGATTTGATTTGAATCAAATGTAGTGTGTAAATGATTGATTCGAATCACATACAACAAAACATAATTTTTCACGATTTTAAAGCTTTTCTTTTCACGTGGCTTGAAATTAACTGATCAGAAAAATAGCAAGTGTACTATTTTTTTTCAATGTAGCAATAGTGGGGACTTCTCCAGATATCGATCTCGAGAACTGCGATGAAATACTGGGTTTGTTTTTGAGTTCAATTAAACAAAATTTATGGTTTTTAGAATCTTTGAATTTTACACAACTTCCGAAGAAAATACTAAAGTATTCAGATGAAATAAACCGATATCAGTAGTATGCTAGGGTCAGTGTCTGATCCAATCATGCAAGGAATCTGATCATACCTTGCAATAACTAGTTTGAATATTTGACTATCGATTCTTATGAGTTATCATTCCTAGATCCTCAGGTAATAATTCTTTAATCCTTCAACCTAATTACTATGTCCATAGAAAATTACGGTTGAAATTAAGCTTTCCAATATCAAGAATATTCTGATTATCGAAGGATATTCCTAGTCCTAGGTAATATTTACTTGAATATATTCTCCAACAAATCATGAACAATAGCTTGTCCGTCTTAATTGTATCCCACTAATCAATTTTTGTTTGTCTGGCAGAAAAAGCAATAAAAACTATAAGAGAAAAAAATCAATTTAAAACAAACCAAATTGTCATTGCAAAAGTATAATATGATTCATTACAGATCAAGATCAGGGTCACCCCCTAGTATTGGTGGATTTAGCTACTAATGAAATTAACAGAAAAGATAATGTTGATTGTAGGCATTATAGATTAAAGACGAAAATTAGGTCTTCAATTGTAAGAGCACGTGAAAATCTTTAATCCTAGCATAAAACCTAAGTTCTTCAGCCTTCTACAATGTTCTTTTCCGTCCATAATCAACTAGCCCTCGTCCAAACACAATTTTGCCTTTTATTTATGATTTCTTGGGCCTTTCAGACCAACAAGTCGATAATACCACGTGCACATGCATTTGGGGATGCGTTTGGAGGTTGAAACGCGTCTGGGACGCATTCTGGCAGGGAGATGATTTTACTGTGTATTTCTTTCTTTGGACACGCGTGTGAGAATGTGTTTGGGCAGAATGGGTTTTTTCTGACTTCTTGCAGGGATTGGAACGCGTCTAGGGACGTGTCTTGATAGAGGGACACGTCCTGGCACGCCTATAAGGTCTAGCGCGCATCTGGCAACGTGTCTTGGTAAGAAGACTTATTTTGGCACACATATGAAGACTGGCACGCGTCTAGGGATGCGTTTAGGTAGGATATGGCATTTTTCTCTTCCACACGTGTCTGGGGATGCATTTAGGCTGGATGTGGAATTTTCTCTTCCACACGCATTTGGGGATGCATTTGACCATTGCTTGCTCAATTTTCTGTCTTTTTACCTGCAAACATATAATACCTTCCCAATAAGATCATAAGTATCTGACACAATCTTATCAATAGGACAACTATAAAACCATGACATCTTAATATAACTTTCTTCACTTTGTAAGGAAATATTGCAAAAATTAAATAAAAATAACTAACAAAACATAGCAAAAATGTGATTGATCACAACCTCAAACTTAGCTTGTTGCTCGCCCTCAAGCAACTTGTAAGAAAAAAGTTTACATACTCGCCTCATGACTTCCCATATCTTGTGCTCTACCATGATGATTCTCAACTGATGTTCTTAGCTTTGCAGTTTCACCACATCCAATTGATCTACCACAATCTTACATGATATTATTGCACCAGTCCTCACCTCATAAGACACTCTTATTAAATCTCTTGATTGGTTAAATATTTTTAATCGCCCAACATTCATAGCATGCATATTATACCATAAGTTTCAAAATTTTCTTACCATATTCTACAATACCAACACACACACATTTTGAGGTCTTTAGGGTTGTAAGAGAGCATATGTTAAGGTGGGACATGAAAAGGGGAAAACAAGTTTTTGGATTCATAGTAAATATCAATGTTCTTTTACTGTATTCATTCCAAGATATCACTGTAGGGACTCTTTAGAACAGAACTTCTTACCAGTCAACTTAACTCCTTAGTTTTTGGAGTTTATTTCTTGAATTACACCGAGTATCTCTTGAGTGAGTGATTTTTCTTTGTGAAGTTCTTTGTCTCATTATATTTTTTCCTTTTCTGAGATTCTCTTTCTTTATTTATATTTTTACTCGCACTCACTTTGTTTCAATTTCTATGTAGTACCCCAAACTTAGAAGTTGTTTTCCCAACAGCAACCCCAAACTTAGAATGAAACACAAATCCAAAAACACTATCTATTACTGTGAATAAGGTGGGGAAATGTTTGGGCCATAGGTTAAACGAAGTGGTAATAAGAACAAAAATGGATAAGCTCAAAGGGGTTATACAAAGGATAAATAGTAAATAGGGATGGCTTTGAGGCTCTAGGTTAAAATAAACAACAAAAATTTGCCTCAATGTATGTGTCAAGTGCAGTGTCAATCATCGAAGAACAAGTGCAAGTTCTGAATAATGCGATATACCAGAATTCCCTCAAGATGACTAGTGGTGTTTGGATTTTTCTGACACTCACCAAGTTGAGTAGAGATGATCTGCTAATGCAATGTATCTAGCTTGATGCAGTGTCTTAATCAAATAAGGCGAACTGCACTGCAGCACTTTCAACAGCATGTAATTTACCACAACAGAGCAACAGAAAGTAGAAAGGATTAAATGGGACAAGTGTGTGTAAGAATTTAAAATCACTAAGTCGGGGTATGAACATATCACGCATCATGACTATGTTCTATAAGTACTCGCAATGAGAAAATGACAAAAAGTAACTTCATTAATTCAAATTGACATTACATGGAAAGAAACGACAAAAAACAAAACAAAACTAGAAATAAAAATGAAAATAAAACTATTGATACACCACAAACAAGAATAGAATTAAAACCAAAACAACCACAAGCATGCTAAGATTCCTCCTCATCATCATCATTCAGGCCAAGTTCTTTGTGAAGGGTATGGAAGATGTCATCATCGTCCGCATTGGGCGGCGGTGGCTAAGGCTGACGAGGTACCCGAGGAGCTATGTGTCCTCCTATCTACATGTCATATGAGAAACCTGGAATCAGATACCGTCCATAATAAGGAGCGAACGGGTTTGTAGTAGCATGGTTGTGGTAACGCTGGGTAGCACCCCACACATCAATCTCATGAGTAAGGTAGAGTCCAGATATATTAAATGTTGCGCACATATCCTGCATGAATCAGAAATTACGCATCTCTACTTGGTGTGCATAGGACTCCTCGTTCACATAGTGGTGATAACGGTAAGTGGGGGTCACTCCCGGGGGTAACTCAGGCATTGGGTCAGACCTTTGCATGTTATCACCAGGTTGAGTTCCTTCTCCCTGTCTATTAGTATCCTCGGTTTTAGGAACCACATTCATCTTACAAATCCATATGGCATCAATTGCCTTGGATGGCAGCACCTGAATTTCACCTGTCAAAGGTTTAACTCTCGCTTTCCTACACAACAGAAGTATCACAGAGGCATCCCCCACAACTTTCTCTGACTTGGATTGGGCAATGGCATCCATATCCTCCGCAATAATTCTCCTTAAATTAATAGGTTGATTATCCAGCAGATAGTAAACTGCTAAAGCCCTCAAAGTGGTTAACTCTGAACCGCTTATGCTAGTGTCGAAGTTATGATGATAGTATGATACCCATGCTTTTGGGACGGGTGCAAGAGACTTACTCAGAATTTTTCTCTAGATGTTATCTGGATCTCGGCTAAGCGTGAAGCCATGCCACCCTCTTCCTGGAATGGCCAATTTGCTCAACATCTCAAAATAAGGCCAACTTCTATGCATTGCTCCCTTATTATCCCCATACTTGCACCAAGACTCTTTGAATTTTAGCTTCAAAATTCTGTCTATAACTTTCCACTCAAACGAGATTGTTTTGCCTCTCACATCACTGACAAATTTTGGCACATCCGGAGAAACTATGTAGGCATTTGCATAGAATACCTTCACCAATTCAGAAAAAACCGGTTGAATGGAGTTTTTGAAGGTAGTCAATCTATACTTTTTTAGAGTGGCATGGATATCTGTGTATTCCCCTCTCTATAAATCAAACTTCCTTTCCTCAATAAAATTCCTCTCACCCAAACGGTCATATCTCCATTGGTGGATAGCAGATGAAAATTTTAGATTGTTAAAACTAACAGATGAAGTAGGCATTGATTCCTTACCCTTGTTGGACTTTTTGGCCATTGAAGATACGTGGGCGAGCAGGTGGACTGAGAAGACTGAAAATAGCTAAACAAAAATTAACAGTAGAGAAAATGCAGGGTTAGATCTAGAGACGTGTGTATGGATGTGTGAAAGAGTATATATATTGCAGTAGAGAGCCCAAAACGTGTGTGAATGCGTGTGGGAACCCCAAACGTGTGTCTGCATGCGTCTTACTGATAAAACACGTGCTTTATGCACTAGCTGATGGGAACGCGTCCCAGAATGTGTTTTCTGTAGAAAATTAGTCATTATGCATGCGTATGAGCACGCGTTTGAGTGCTACAAAGCCATTCCCACGCGTTTCAACATGAATTTCAACAGAAGGCCTGACTTTTATGCTCATCTGCTACATGCACACGTTTGGGGACACGTTTTGCCATAATTTCCCCCACATTTTTGCTTTCTTGATTCATTGCAAAGGAAAATAACACATAACTGAGAATAAATAAAAACAAGAATTTCTAGAAATGTAAACTGAAAATATTAATAAAAAGTAAAATAAATGACCAACACTCAAAAATAAACTAGTACCTCCCTTGGGTTTCCTCTGAAAAAATGATGCGTTTAACGTCACATGGCTCGACGGTTTTCTAGCTTATCCTGTAAGCTAAACATCATCTATCAGACCCTTCACTCGAACTTGATAGTATGATTTTAGTCATTGTCTATTCACCTTAAAAATGTCTCCGTTGTTAGAACAAGATTTGGTTCTGCAACTTTATCTCTGAGTTTTTATGATAACAAATAAGTATGCTTGTATGAACAATTTTGGTACTCTAATGTTTGTTATTTTGAGTATTTAACAAACAGGTCCTGCTTCTGATAAACGGCACTTCCAAGACATTAGAAGATAATAAGTTCCGCTTCTAGTCTACACAAGTTCGCATGAACAGTAGAAAAAGCTTCAGAAAACTATGAAGTTGCGACTCTGATACTCGTCCAAGAAACCAAGTTCTGAAGATCTGAAAACAGAAGTTCTAACTGAAGTCCAGATGCTGAAGACTTATGTTTCTGAAGACAATGGATTCTCAAGACCAAGAGCTGAAGATTCTAATAGACGAAGTTCTGAAGATTCTGAAGACTTGAAGTTCTGGTAACCCAAGGTTATACAAAGGTTTAAAGACCAAGTGCTACAGATTTTGAAGATGCGGTTCTGAAGACTCTGAATACTTGAAGTTCTGAAGACCCAAGTGTTATTCTCATTCTTCTAACGCATGCTCAGAAGCCTCTGACGTTAGAAGAAAAAGAGGATAAGATTACGTGGTACAAAAAGTATATGGTACAAACAAAATGTTCCATTCCACTACCATGAAGAACGGACATTGCGAACGATCTTGTCTCCCACTTGATTGCTCAATCTGTCAGCTTTCTGGAAATTCCAGAAATACCCTTCAACGGTTATAATATTTTATTGGCTATATAAAGTCTTGAAGACTATGGGAGAAACTTCTAATTTACGTTGATACACTTTCTATTAATATTATTCATACGCTTTCTTATTTCTCTAGTCTATGTTCTAAAATTACTGTTTACATATTCGCTTGTGCAGAAGCATAATTTCTTGTAAACAAACTTTGTTCAAATAGTTGTTTAATTTTCCTTAAGGGACCAGTTGGTTAGAATCCTTGAGAAGTCTAAGATTAGTGTGTCTTAGAGGTGGAAACATTAGTCACTTGAAGTTAGCCTGCGCATTGTAATAATTTGTTTGATTATTGGATTAAGTCCTTGTTAAGAAAGGCGAAATCACTTTGGCGGGTGGACTAGACTAACTTGACAGTTTTCAAGTGAACTAGTATAAACATAACTTGTTCTTTCTTTCTTGCATCTTATCATTATTATCACTAAGTGAAGTAACTTTTATGGTTTAAAGGGGATTTTAAAAGGAAATTTTTTTGGTTTAAAACCCAATTTAAACCCCCATTTTCTTGTGTTTTTCACACCTTCACCCGTTTCATTGATTTTTTAGCTCAATGGCCCCATTGCGGGAACACTTTGTGAACCACAAATGGTCCGAACCATCTGGAATTCAGTTTTCTAGGAAACATATTCAACCTGGAATTAAACAATAGGACCAACCATCCTTCCCAAAATTCCTTCATTAGGATCTTTTGATCATGCCATTTTTTGTTTGTTCCTTGTAAAGTTTGGCATTCTCATAAGCTTGATTCCTAAATTCTTCTAACTCATGGAAATGAAGAATTTGGGATTCACCAGCTTTGAAAAGATCACAATTTAGGAATTTAGAGGCTCAAAATGCTTTGTGCTCTAATTCGAGCAGAAAATGACAAGCTTTACCATAAACCAACTGATAAGGGGACATACCTATTGGAGTTTTGAATGTTGTTTTGTATGCCCACAATGCATCATCCAGAATTATTGACCAGTCTTTTCTAGACACGTTGATAGTCTTTTCAAGGATTTTCTTTATCTGCCTGTTAGACACTTCAACCTAGCCACTCATCTGAGGATGAGACGGAGTGGAAATTTTATGCTTCACATTGTACTTCTTTAACAGATTCTCCATCAACTGGTTCAAGAAATGGGTCCCTTCGTCACTGATGAGTGCCCTTAGAACCCCAAACCTCAAGAAAATATTGTTCTTCAGGAAATTCACTATAACCCTGGCATCATTAGTGGGCAGCACTACCACTTCCACTCACTTTGACACATAATCTACTGCTACCAAGATGTAATTCTTTCCAAATGATTGTGGAAACGGTCCCATGAAGTCTAACCCATACACATCAAACAATTCTACCTCCAACATAGTATTTTGAGGCATCTGATTCTTCTTTGAAATTTTACTTGTCCTCTAACACCAGTCACATTCTTGCATTATTCCTTGAGCATCTTTGAATAGTGTAGGCCAGTACAACCTATATTGGAGGACTTTTGTTGTTATTCTATCTCCACTAAAGTGTCCTCCATAGTCTGAGTCGTGACATGCTTTAAGGATGTCCCTCTGTTTTTCCTCTGGGACACATCTTCGAACCAACTTGTCTTTCCTTTTTTGTACAGGAATGGTTCGTCCCACAAATAAAACCTGCAATCATGCAAAAACTTTTTATTCTTATTAGAATAAAAATCGTCAGGTATTATTCCAACTACCAAATAATTCTTGTAGTCTACGAACCACGGGACACCCATAACAGCTAGGATTCATTCATAAACAAACTCATCCTTTATTGGGTGTTTTCCTCTGTTTCTTCTATCGGGGACATCTAGGATAAGTGATCAGCAACAGTATTTTCATATCCCTTTTTGTCCCAGATTTCTAGATCAAAATCTTGCAGTAGTAGAATCCATCTTAGCAACCTTGGTTTCGATTTCTGTTTAGAAAAAAGATACTTCAAAGTAGCATGGTCAGTATAAACAATTACCTTTGATTCCAACAGGTAAGAACTGAACTTGTTGAAGGCATACACCACAGCTAGCAACTCTTTTTTAGTGGTTGCATAATTAGTCTGAGCAGGATTCAACACATGACTTGCATAGTAGATAACATGCAAGATCTTTTCCTTTCTCTGTCCTAGTACCGTCCCTACTGCTATATCACTAGCATCGCACATGATCTCAAAAGGTAGAGACCAATCATGGCATATTACTATGGGAGCAGATACCAACTTATTCTTCAAATTTTCAAATGCCTCACTGCACTTTTTGTCAAACAGAAACTGTGTATCCTTCACAAGAAATCTCATCAATGGTTTGGCAATTTTTGAAAATATCTTATGAACCTGTGGTAAAAACCCGCATGTCCCAAGAAACTTCTTATACCCTTTTCATTCATCGGTGGTGGTAAATTTGCTATTACCTCCACTTTTGCTTTGTCAACTTCAATTCCCTTATGGGAAATTTTATGCCCCGACAGTATACCTTCTCGCACCATGAAATGGCATTTCTCCCAATTGAGAATCAAATTGGTCAACTGACATATTTCTAGCATAAGATACATGTTAGTCAAACAATTATCAAAAGAAGACCCGAAAACTGAAAAATCATCCATAAACACTTCCATGTGCTTTTCGAGCATGTCAACGAATATAGATGTCATACATATCTGAAAAGTAGCTGGGTCGTTACACAACCCAAATGGCATTCTCCCGTAGGAAAAAAAATACCATAAGGGCATGTGAAAGTGGTCTTCTCTTGATCTTCAGAGACCACTACAATCTGATTGTATCCAGAGTAACCATCAAGGAAGTAGTAGTAGTCATGACCAACCAACCTTTCAAACATTTGGTCAATTAATGGTAAAGGAAAGTGGTCTTTTCTTGTAGCAGTGTTTAATCTTTGGTATTCAATGCAAACTTTCCAACCTATAACAGTTCTTGTAGGAATCAACTCATTCTTCCCATTTTTAATGACGGTTGTTCCTCCATTCTTTGGTACCACATGAACAAGACTCACCAATGAACTATCAAATATAGGTTAAATAAGACCCACATCCAACAACTTCACAACTTATTTGTGGACTACTTCTTTCATGGCAGGGTTAAGTCTTCTTTGCGGTTAGACAACCGATTTCTGATCATCTTTCATTAGTGTCTTGTGCATGCAAACTGTGGGACTAGTACCCTTCAAGTCCTCAATGGCCCATCCAATAGAACCCTTGTATTTCTTGAGTACTTTGATGATTTGGCCTTCTTGAACTTCTTTTAGACTAGAGTTGATGATAGCTGGACATTTCTCTTCAATGTCAAGAAAAATATATTTGAGATTTTTACACACTTGTTTCAACTATGTCCCCTTTTTGACTTCTTGCTTCTCTTCAGAAGATTGTTGTGGTCATAAACCTTCCTGTCAATGTGGTTTCGATCTATTCTACAGAGGTTGTGCTTCAAACATGGCTAGCACTTCTGACTCTTTCTCATCTATTTCCTCACTGTTTTGAGAAATTGACAAGCTAAGAACTCTTTCCAACGGTAATTAGGGAATTCTACTATGAATTGACTGAATGAACACTGTGTCTAACACTTAAATATTTTTACTTGTACCTTTCTCATTCTTGAATTTCATGGTGTTCTTCACATTAATTTTTAGCTTTTAATCATAGACTTTGAGGGTCATGGTGCCTTTCTCAATATCTATCATGCATATTCCTTTCTCTAGAAAAGGTCTTCCCAAAATTAGCGGGATTTCCTCATCTTTTGGCATCTCCAGAACCACAAAATCAACAAGGGACACAAATTTGTCAATCTTCACAAGAACATCAGTTACAATACCATAGGGTCTTTTCATCGAATGAT